CAAGTACTAGGAAAAAATATTTATTTTTTAATCCGAAAATGATTAAAATATTCCTGTATCATGTTTGATTGTCAGAAACAAAATACCTTTGGTGAAATTCACTAAAGCAAACCATGGGCGCCCCAAACCATCATTTTTAGTAGGTAGGAACAAGATTCTAATGCAAAACATTTACTCGAGAAGAAGACTGATAAAGCCAGGTCATCTCTATACATATAAAACAAAACTTCAAAATCAACTCTCTTTCAGACACACACACTTTTTTCAATTGAAACTACAAATAAAAATAATAAATTTAACAAGAGAATATGTTTAGATCAAGCATGTCAAACTCAAATCCTAACACGGACCAAATAAAAAAGTAATAAGATTATGTGGGCCGCAAAAAAAAGAAAACAAGTAATTAAATTTTTATAGTAACATTTATGTAGGTTTATTTTAAAAAATACTAATAAAAAAAAGAAAGTAAAGTTAATATTTTCTCCCTGATATTTGGCATCTCTTTTCTGCTACCATCTTTCCTACTTCGGGGGAAATCTTGTTCGCAGTTTTTATTAAAATATATTGTCTGGTGGGCCGCAAATTTATTCGTTGTGGGCCGCATGAGGCCCGCGGGCCGCGAGTTTGACATGCTTGGTTTAGATGAAGAAGCGATTTGAAATATCTCTATGCTGACTATGCACATCTCTAACTAATCTGGCACAAATTTTAACAGTATATAGAGTTGAACCTGGAAAAACTTATAGTCATATTTTAACCTTTCTATCTCGAATATCCTTGGAGTTATTTACAAAATTGTCATTTTTAGTCTCAGCCAGCGCCCACTTTGGCAGAGATAGGTTTCAGTTTTGGCAGGAAGCCTGCTGCAGGCCTTAATATCCTTGAGGTTACTGATTTAACAAATGAAAAAATTCCATTTTCTTTTCAAATTTTAGATTGCATAAGAAATATATTTTTGCTCTTAATTATTATACAGGGAGGCTGAAAAGTATGGTCCTCTTTATTTATGAACTTAGGAACAGTATTTATATCGCGTGGGCGGTTAATTTGTGGTATTGCGAAAGGCTAATCTTAATAAACTGTGTGCCTAGAAAGCAAAGATTCCAACTTCTTTTATTTTTAATTTTGCGTCCTTCTCCTCATTACGCACCTGACCGAGCCCTTCAGGCATCGCACGCTGGCTCAAGATCAACGCCAGAATTGTTAGAAGGATTGTAAAGCAATACCAGGAGCGAGAACATTATGGAGTGCTTTCAAAATCGGGCCATCCAAGGACGGTCCACTCCAACACGGAAGATCATATAGAAGAGGATTGCTCGAAATGACGGCGTCAGCATGAATCGCATCGCTTCTGACCTCGGAATATCTAGGGAAAGAGTGTAGAATATCGTGAAACATGACCTGGGACTTCGCAGCTATCGTCTTTACAGTGGGAAAACTCTTTCCAAAGCTGCAATATTGAATCGCTTGGACAAGGCAAAGAAGTTGCTCTCAATGATCCACGTGGGCCGGTTTTCCGACATTGTGTGGGAGACAGACAAGAAGGTTTTCACAGTTGAAATCGCCCACAACTCTCAAAACCACGTAAGGAAACGTCGGGTGCACACGAGGCCCAAGTTCCCGAACTGACCAAGGCGTCATTATAAGGGACTGTCTACTTCCATTGGTTCGACAGTACTTCGCCAGTCGTAATTTCATACTTCAGCAAGACTGGGCCCGCCCATGGCTCCCAGTAGACAATAACTTTCTGCCAGCAGCATTTTCCTGGGTTCTTGGGCAAAGACATGTTGCCTTCAAACTCCCCAGATCTAAACCGATGGACTACTCCATGTGAAGTTACTTGGAGCAAAATGTCTCTTCGTCCCACAAAAGTTTGACGTATCTAAAGAAGGCCTGAGAGTGGGCCAAGATCGACATCAAGTACCTGCGGCCCACATTGGAGTCTATCATAAAACGCCTCCAGATCTGCATCAAGGCCAAAGGAGCCCACACTTCGATATGTTTCTTTAATAAATTGTTTCCTTAATTTTAGTTATTATATATGAATTTTACAATTATGTGTTCATTTCACTGAGTTATTGCAAAAGTTTTCAGGACTATACTTTTCAGCCACCCTATACTTTATTTTAAAAATATTTAAATCTGAATACATATAGGGGAATTTTTATAGGAAAAATAAAAGGAACAAATATAGATTTATTCTCTAAATATATATTTGTTACAAAAGAGGCATCTTTCTTTTAAAAATGCATCTAAACAATGCATTTTGTTTATCAGCTCAGTAAAGAGCGAAATATTATGATAAAGTATGTGTCACAACACAAGTTTTTGCAAATTCCTACAAAAATCAACTTATATACTTTTTTTCTGGTTATGGCCCCCACAGCAAAAGGGCGGCATTATTTCATAATGAAAAAAAAACAATAGAAAAAATTAAAAATAAAAAGATCAGGTGTTGATATTAAAAACAAAGTAGGCATAGCCTGACCAGGAGCACATGTGCTTTTCAGAAGGCAGAGCGCCATCTGGTGGAACAGAAATCAACTAAACATTGACCAGGCAAACATTGAAACAGGTTAAATTAATGTTTAGTTGATTTCTGTTCCATCAGATGGCGCTCTGCCTTCTGAAAATCACATGTGCTCCTGGTCAGGATATACCTACTTTGTTTTCATATTTCATCCCTATATATATAAAAGTCAGTGTATGTATGTATGTATGTATGTGGGTATCTATGTCGGCTATACACGTCCACAATACGTAACTAATCTGACTGAAATTTTAACAGTATATAGAGTAGAATCTGGAAAAACTTATAGTGAAAATTTCAGGTCTCTATCCCGAATATTCTTCGAGTTATTTGCAAATTGCGTTGCAAATTTGCCTTTTCGCTCTCAAGCAGCGCCTCTAGCGGTGAAGATGGGAGGTAATATCAGCTGACTTAATGTGCATGTAAAACGTGTTTTGACAGGACATAGAAAAAAATCTGGAAAATATATTTATCGGATTTTTAGCAAATAAAAAATAAAATTGACAGGTTCTGGGCAAAAATAGTTGTTTTTTAGTCAGAAAATGATGATGACAATATTGCTGTATCATGTTTGATTATCAGATACAAAATTATATCGGGAAAAATTCCAAAAATCTGAGACCATGGGTGAAGCCAGTTCATTTTTAGTGTGCAGGAACAAAATTCTAACAGAAAAACATTCATTCGAGCAGAAGACACAAAGCCAGATCATCTCTTTATAAAAATATCGCTTCTCTGACACAAAGTTTGGAGCGGGACGTTTCACAAGAGTGACATCCACGGCGCCAATTTATAATTGTAACGAATAGTATTTGAATAAAAACATAAAATCGGGTAAAACCTGGGCGTTGCCCAGGTCATTCGGCTAGTAATGTGATAAAATGTATCTATATAAACAATAACAATAAACTAGAACTGATTTAAAAGTAACAATTATCTTTATTTATAATACATAACATACTATGAGTGTAATTATGAAATTTATATTTGAAATTTGTCTAAAGGTGTTTAAGCTGGTAAAGTGGTAGGGAGATTTTCAGGCCAGAATCAACATATATAGTCACGACCGTCTTTCCTGGCCTCTGTCACGGATGCGCGCGCATCATCATTATGATCATTATCATTATCTAATGATAATTATTATTATCATCAACATATATAGTCAAGATCGTCTTTCCTGGCCTCTGTCACGGATGAAATTTAAAAATTAATATAATAGTCACGACCGTCTTTCCTCATCGGCCTCTGTCACGGATGCGCGTGCACAGGGAGGTCACGTGCTCGCCAGAAGCCAATAAAAATAAAAATTAAAAAAAACTCCCTCGAGCCGGATTTGAACCAGCGACCTAAGGATCACCGTTGTAACATCTACAGTCCTCCGCTCTGCCAACTGAACTATCGAGGGATACAAACTGTATGAATAAGTTTACCTTATAAAGTCAACTGATCCTATTTCTACACAAAATGTATCCCTATATATAGTCACGACCATCTTTCCTCATCGGCCTCTGTCGCGGATGCGCGCGCACAGGGAGGTCACGTGCTCGCCGGCAGCCAACAAAAATAAAAATAAAAAAACTCCCTCGAGCCGGATTTGAACCAGCGACCTAAGGATCACCGTTGTAACATCTACAGTCCTCCGCTCTGCCAACTGAGCTATCGAAGGATACAAACTGTATGAATAAGTTTACCTTATAAAGTCAACTAATCCTATTTCTACTCAAAATGTATCAACATATATAGTCACGACCGTCTTTCCTGGCCTCTGTCACGGATGAAATTTAAAAATTAAAAAAAGATGCCGAAACCCGGGATCGAACCAGGGACCTTTAGATATCCCTATATATAGTCACGACCGTCATGGGCCGGTTCTGTCACGGATGCGCGCGCACAGGGAGGTCACGTGCTCGCCGGCAGCCAACGGGCGCGCGCCGCCGGCATTACGTCATAGATTATAAACACAAGGTAATAAGGCCAAATAAAAAATAGTGTGTGATAAGGCACAATTTGGATTATCTACTTATATAATTGCCTTATTCTCTCTGTGTGAAGTTCACTGTGTGAAGTTCACGGATAGATTTTGGTCAGAATGGATAAAATAAAAAAAGTGTCAAGGGATGGGAATCGAACCCACGACCTTCCGCTTACCGGGCAGATGCCATGACCACTAGGCTACCCTGGACATATTTTTCCGTTCACATTTTTATTTTTATATTTTCAAGACACACACAGTTTGGGGCGGGACGTTTCACAAGAGAGACATCCACGGCGCCAATTTATAATTGTAACGAATAGTATTTTAATTAAAACATTTTTAAAATATATACGCACTCGGGTAAAACCCGGGCGTTGGCCATTGTCTAGTTAATATAATAGTCACGACCGTCTTTCCTCATCGGCCTCTGTCACGGATGCGCGCGCACAGGGAGGTCACGTGCTCGCCGGCAGCCAATAAAAATAAATAAAAAACTCCCTCGAGCCGGATTTGAACCAGCGACCTAAGGATCAGATCACGTTGTAACATCTACAGTCCTCCGCTCTGCCAACTGAGCTATCGAGGGATACAAACTGTATGAATAAGTTTACCTTATAAAGTCAACTAATCCTATTTCTGCACAAAATGTATATATATATATAGTCACGACCGTCTTTCCTCATCGGCCTCTGTCACGGATGCGCGCGCACAGGGAGGTCACGTGCTCGCCGGCTCCCTCGAGCCGGATTTGAACCAGCGACCTAAGGATCACCGTTGTAACATCTACAGTCGGGTAAAACACGGGCGTTGCCCGGGTCATTCGGCTAGTATAATACATACCTAAACCTGTTTTACAGGCTGATTTTGTCTAAATTTTCCCAAACTGGTGTTGTAGCACATTCATTATCATTAACATTATGTTTTGTACACTGGATGATAATAAAAATGCATTGTTTTAATACCCTTTTAAAGGATAGGTAGCTCTTTTGGTATATGAATTATATCCTTCAACAATATATATATCTAAAAATCTCTTGGGCTCGTGGTCCAGATATGCCTTTTTTATTTTAATACCAACACCTGACATTTTTTAAAATTTTATTTTTTATTATTTTTTAGCATACATATATGTAACCTAAAGTTGCGGGAGAATGGTATTCATGTATCAAATTTGGCATATCTTCCTTTAAGAATGCATTAAAACAACGAATTTGCTTTACAACCCAGTATAAAACATTTCACGATTACTATAACTATAAAATGTATAAAGCATAAAACCAAGACCATATGTGGCAAAACAAATTGATAAATTTTTCTGTAAATTTCTCTAACTAGAAATTACAAACTCTAAAACTTTTAAAATAAAGTGTTGTTCAAATATAATTGTTCTGAATTTTGAATACCAAGAAGTAATGTACAACCGATTATTATAAGGATTTCATATTAAATAATTTAATAATAATTATTTTTTATTTAACTACATTGTGGTTTAGTGTGTATTTTCATCTCAATCTCTTAAGGAATATAAATTTACAGACTGTTGCTTCAAACAAAACAAAATTTTAAAATTTGACTCCATTAGACAGCAAAAACAACCATCATCACATTGTTACGATGGAAGAGATCGGAATTGTAGTACCAGAGCGGGTAATTTTACTTTTAATATTAAATTATCATTTCGATGAAGATATTTACAAATTAATTATGTTTTCAGTCTAATATTTAATAACATTGTCATAATTGAAATTTATATAACTATTTATTTACTATTTGTCCGATGACTTGCATCTTTTAAGCCTAACAGTTCAAACAAGTTGACAAACAAGTAGCCGCCTTTATGCGAGAAAACACTCATTCGTGTTAATATTCACATTATCACAAGCATTTAGTGGAAATGTTCTACAGAGCTATTTATGCTTGTATAGTTGCCATTTTAAAAAATATATATCTCATCAAAAGAAATAAAACTTATTATTCTTTTTCTATTTCAAGCCTTTATATTCTAAACATCGTATATTTTATAAATAAGAGTAATTAAAATAAATAATAAAATATATATATATACCATCTAACAAGAGACATTGTTGAGGATGTACAGCTCTTGTTTTTAAAAAAAGTTTGAAACTAATTCAACCCAATTTTAGCTAACCTCTTCTACAAAACACTTATTTTAACATAGAAAATGTGTATATTTTAACTGGATAAGCAATTTTATAAATTCTATAGATCAAATGTTTTTGAAGAACAATGTAAACTATTTTTTACACCAATGAAATAATTTGCATCATACAATTGACTACAATGTGCTATTTAAAACAATATCATTAAAATAATTTTTAAAAATTATTTCTAAATAACATTTTAGAATGTTAATTTTTTTATCACCAATATAATTCATTTTTAACCATTGATTTTTTACTTAAAGGGGATATATGTGGTTAAAATTCAAGTCTATATATAGCTAGATTTATATAGACCTTGAAACAACTTATATAATCTAAACTATACCTTCCCATCTCACTATTAGGTCACCCCACTGACACGGATTGGGTAGTAGCTCTATTTTTGCTATAATGGCAAATGAATAGGAATTTTAAATTATTTCTATATTGTATTTTTATAATTTTAAAAAAATGTAAGATAACTCATTTCTATGGAACACTGGTAGCAAGGTGCTGCTGAGTATATCAATACACTAGGTTAGATTTGATAAGGCACAATTTGGATTATAAAACAAAGTAATAAGACCAAATCCAAATAAATAAATAGTGTGTGGCGTTTCGGTAACAGCGTTGTTACCATCTACAGAGACAAAAGTTCCCTAAATGGAAAACAAATACAAATTTTTTAAAATTCAATGAATTCATTGATTGAAAACTCAGCTGAAATCAAATACAAAATTAAATGTTTATAAATCTTTAATAAGTTTTATTCGTGTATAAATGCTGAATAACTTATAACTTGAAAAATATACTTGAAGCACAAAATTCTAAGAACATTATGTTTATAAACAGACATTGAAACTCATTGTGAAAGGTTGTAGTTTTATTTTTGAAATTTGTAACGCAATTTTTCGTTTACTTACTTTAATTCAACTAAAATCTGATCCTTTCGGGTGTTAAATTGAAGAAGTTAGACTATGCCTTATTTTGAGCCACTGGTCTGTCCAATATACAGTTGTCTGCTTTGTCTAACCTCACCTTCCCTATAAGAATATCAAACAATTCCACGCCAAAGTCTCCAATTACTATTCAACCTGTGAAAAACTAAAATGGTATTTTATACATGTACCTTGCAATACAGTAGAACCTCCCTGGTAAAGGACACCTAATTGCAGAGCCAAAGTGTCCTTTAGGGAGAGGTGTCCTCTTACCGGAGAGTTGCAAAATTGTAAAAATGGTAATTTTGCAAATGAAAGCTGTCCTTTGTAGAGAGGTGTTCTCTAAAGGTAGGTTCTACTGTACAAGCTGTGCCACAGCTATTCTCAATATAAGTAGTTGTAAACCTCTACTAACCATTGTGATTATCATGGTCTTGGCCCTTAGGAAATCTTTGACTGAGATTTATTTGTAGGAGGTACCCTGACTTTGAGAGAGTACTGCCTAGAAATTAGTTTTAAAAACTAGAATGTGACTTCATATCAGATCCAGATATTGTTTATTTATGTTTTGTAATATAGGGATCTGAAGGATAATGTTGTAATGGAAAATTTTTGTAGTGTTAGAATGGTTCAATTCTATTACATTGACACATTTTTATGTTTAATTATTCTCGAAATGTTCCTTCGCATGTTTGTGATGGGCTAACACTCTTTAATTTTTTAAAATATTAACCTGAACAAGGTAATAAGACCAAATCTAAATAAATAGTGTGACGTTTCGGTAACAGCATATGGTTACCGAAACATCACACACTATTTATTTATTTAGATTTAGTCATTTTACTTTGTTTTTCTAATTTATAATCCAAATTATGCCTTATTATTTAATCTTTGGATATCTTTAAAAAAAATTCTTGGTAGTCAGTACCATGTTATTCCAAGTATGAAATAATTTACTTTCTGCCTACAAATCCTCCTTCAAACTATATTTCTTAAATAAACAGCATTCCAATAAACTAAAATTAATGACATTTCCAGGAAGAAAATTTCTCCACAGAGCAGCGCACCACAGGTGCTCCAGCCCCTGCCACTGAAGACACTGATGTGGATGACCCCTATATCAAATTTAAGGTAAGTACATCTATTTTCCATGTAAGTTGTTCTCAATAAATGTCTCCAAGGTCCATTAAAGAGTTGTGTGATGTTGAAATAAGGTCTACTCACAGAATAAAACATCGCTGTGGTATAATAAAGCACTTAATACAATCAATCCAGTTATGAAAAATTATCTTGAGCTATCTAAAATTTTAAATGCCTTTAATAAACTGCACCACTGTTGAAATCATTCTTTTATACCATTTCAAACAGCAATAATATATGACGAAGAATTGACAGCACCCAAACTGGTGAGCTTCATTGTCTCTGCCAAGTATTAACCTTAAAATATAGCTCCAGACTTTGAATGTTGTGATAAACCAGCCTTTTTTCATTCACATAAAATCAATGAAAATATAGGAATCAGCTCAAAAAGCTTTAAAACCTTATAACCTAAATCTACCAGGTCTTGACTCCTGTTTAAAGAATCCACAGGAACAAATTCATTGCACTTTGAAAAGGCTATGTGACAGTTGCACAACTCTTCCTCATCAATACCATGGCATGGTCCAGGTATACTTGAGATAAAGGTACTCCATATAGACCTCCTGAGTCAACAATAGTCATTGGCTTCTCAAGGTTAAAGCTTTAAGAAGATATGTTCCATATTATATGACTATTGCCTTTAAATAAACTTTTGGTTTTATTAAATATATTCCAAGGAATTATTCAATGATAATTCACCCATAAATCAAATCTTTCTTCCTTGCCACATTGTCACATGTTTATTATATCAAAACTGCCATGTCATTCTGACAGGGGTTTCCCAATTTCCTCTCTGTTAATAGGGAAGTACTCTAAATCCTCTCTTAAGTAGCCACTGAGGCAAAACCACTGGTGTTGTAGCTGAAGTTATGGAAAACCATGGTTTACACACACCAGGTTATAGCATACTTGATACCAAAGGTATGTGCAGAAGCTGCAGCGGCAGCTGGAGTTCCTGGAAGTACAGGAGGAGTACATCAAGGATGAGCAGCGCAACCTGAAGAAGGAATACCTCCACGCCCAGGAAGAAGTGAAGAGGATCCAGAGTGTTCCTCTGGTCATTGGGCAGTTCCTGGAGGCCGTGGACCAGAACACCGGGATTGTGGGCTCTACCACTGGTAGGACTATACTCTTGCCTGGTTTTATCACTGACACCTTCTTGTTGATTAGTATCCAAATAGTTGGTTCATGAGTGAGGTCCAGTTTTATACTACCATCACTTTCAATCTAGAATTTATGTGTAGTTTAAAGTTTATCCTTTTTGGCACTAATATTTATTTTTATATAAATCATCTGAAAACAACTTCTATACTATCTACTCCATAGAGAGAACTTGGCTTATCAGT